GCATTGCAATATTGATTGTTCGGATCATTGGTATCTAAGTCTTCCGCTACGCTATCTTGTACTTTGTATTGAGAGGTCGGTTCTTGTTCTGGTCTTCACCATTACAGTACGCAACAGTAGGTCAGCAGTTATCTTCTTAAAGTTCTTCTGAATTTCTTTCAAAAAAGGAGGTGAGTGGGATAAGTAGATGGTTGGATATCTAGCGTCTTACTAGTGATGGGGCTAGCTCGTGGGATGGAAACAGGGTATAGCGGCAGCGGAGATGGTGGCTCTGCTGCAGTAAGTCTTGCCGGAGTGAGGTAAGGAGGATTGATGGTGGGTTTCTGAGTCGTTTTCTGATTTTAGCCTATATTCTGAAGTTCGTCGCAACAATTTTCTCAGTAGCTACAAGTTCTTAGCCATAGCCAGGTAATGGCCCCGGTATCTTAAAACTTTCAAAATCCTATGTTAATTTCCATATGGGACGCTGGGTCCGGTTCCCAGCACGTGCTGCTCCCCACGAATAGATTGAAGCCTTGTTAAAAAAAAAAAAAAAAAAAAAAAAGATATTACATATATATATTCCGCTTAATTGGCCCTAAGAATGTCACCACCTGAAAACATCGGACCCCCTTTTATCTGGACTTCAATGAAGTTTACAGGACCCTTCGGTGCTAAAATTGTGACATTTTTAGGGCCAAATGAGCAGGTTTGAATTTCTTTCAACAAATATAAATGTTTCTTTTGACGAAATGGCTGTTAGGCACTTGGTTTAGACAGGAAGGGGACTCCGAGGGGGAGGACTCCTTGGGTTGGAGAGTTAGGATGACGATATCCCAGGAAAATGTTGGCTCTCACTCTTTGCAGGACTGCACGAGTGTCTCGTACATGATGGTGTCTCTTCCTGGTACGGCATGACCGATCTTTTTTTTTTTTTTTTTTTTTTTTTTTTTTAACAAACAACCCGATCGTTTGCTAGAGGTGCTGATAAGAGCAGGCACCACTAGCACTGTCGAGCAGGCTCCGTCTATTGGTGGGGAGCTACACCTACTGGAAAACGGGTCCAACGTCCCTCATACAATTGATGCTCATATAAGATAAAGTTGTTGAGAACAGTAGGAGCTGCCTCTTCAGCCATAAATTGGCCGCCAGATAACCAGGATGTTGCTAGCAGTACTACCTCTCTCACCTTTTGAAGAAAATAGAGAGAAATTTGTAGGATGTTCTGTTGTACTATAGATCCTGAAAGTATTCCAGAAACCGGACTTTCAATCCATGTCTTCCTGCTCACGACCATACCAGCTCAGAGGAACCAGGCTTAAAGAGGAGGGAGGGAATGGATCAGGGAATTCTGAAAGGGGACGAAGGGGTACAGCGGGATCTACATTTGTCCACTCATGAAAAATGAGG